GCCGTCCCTGCCTACCTCTTGCATCCGACTTGTGATAAGTCAATTATTTTGATTAATAACTCAAAAAGTAAGCTTCAGACAAAATTTTGCCAGATAAAAAGTTGTCTTAGAATTTAGTCAAGAATATGTATTTTCAAGGATAACGGATTGTTCTGAATCACCCTGTATACATATATATGTTATGTTTTTTGACGCGCACAAAGAAACTAACTTGTATGAATTGATTCAATAAATTGCATTCATTGTTAAACACAGAAAGAGTTACTTGACTACATGAGCTTACATGGAAGAATGAATAGATGACTGAAAAAAAATGAATATTGATTTAATCAAAAGAATGTTTGTTTGTATGAAAATATCACCGGTAGCCGTTACTATGCAAACGTTTATATCGATTCATAAAGATGCATTTTCATATGCCGCTGAAACTGATCGTTTAAGCGACAAAAAGGGTCACGTGATGATTTTTGTCGCTGAACTATTCAGCGGCAACTTTTGTACATAAAAAAGAGTAAAAGCGACAAAGTTCGAGTGATTAAAAAGTGGTTGCACCAAGCTATAAAGTTGAGACACAGATTTATCATTATGTCTTCCAAGGAAAAAAATATAATTGGATACTAAATTATAATCAAATAATTCAAAAACATGAAATTGAATTTCAAAATAATATTGTTTTTGCCATTATTATGATGCTGTTGACATGTCGGCAACCACAAAAAAGATATTATTCTAAAAAGAAATTTTGGATTGCACTGTTGTTTAAAAATCATAATAAGTATGGATTTTATAAAGAAAATACAACTTATATCTCATAAATGTTTCGAAAATTGATATCTGTAAGCTTTTGTTTTAAAAAATAAGCAGCTTTATTGTTTCAATTTATAAACTAAAATAAAATTTATATAAAGTATATTTTAATGGATCAAACAGAATTTGTTTCTTTTAAATATTGTTGCGAGATGCGGCGCGTGTCGTCCGCGGGGTAGAAGATGTTCGTCGAACGATTGATCGATATCGAGGCTTTTGTTCGGGTAGCAACGGGGTTGTTGACAGCGAAGTTCGGAGAAGAGATAAGGAGTTCTCACGACGCGCCTCGACGATTTCTGTTACGCATTATTTCTCTTGTATTTCCGTTATAATAAAGTGTGTTTAGAGAAAAGCGGCGACCTTTTATTGCCGCGGTCGTGTACGCGAATCGCGGCGTCTTACGAGAGCATCGCTACGCACAGCGAGCGTAACAATATATAGTATAAAATAAACCTTATTTTAGATACTTACTTCTTCATCTTCACACACACACACACACACACACACACACACACACACATTATCTTTTATTTTTGTATCTTCTTTTAATATTTTTCGAAATTGCACGATTATATCTTTGGTATACTTTATATTATATCTTTTAGTATACTTTATTATGTATTGCAAGGTTATGTCTTTGGTTGCAGTATTGCAGTACATCACAGCAATTGAGCAACAACGCTTGTAGTTGAACTGGTTCAAACTACAAAATTGTAGCAGCTGAAATACGAGCAACAAATCAAAGTCATCACATGACCCTTCTTGTCGCTTGAACACTTAGGTTCAGCGGCACGTAAAATTGCACCTTACTGTGTTGTATATCGACACATTATATCAATATACAA